TCCTCCAGCAGTCTAAGCCTATAGCAGCATAACTACAGAGATAACTCTGGATAATCTATCCTATTTAGATGGAGGCATGTTGGAGGCAGGGCAAAGGAGAGCCGCCTTTACCGACTGTACACTCCACCTCCCTCTACTCCCCCACTTGTCCAGATCTAGGCTAACCAAGTGTTAGCCTAGATCTAGGCTCATGTGTTTTACATGAGCCAGCTAACCACAGGTCCTACTTGATGAAATAATCTTAACTTCAACATGAATTTTAACTCGATGAAATACCAACATCACCTTCATTTAGACAGAAACTTGTTTTGGAGAAAAAAAGAAAGAGACTTGCAGCACAATCATTGTGTTTGGTTCTGACCACAACCAAAGTCAGGAAGAAGCCTCTGGGATGAGAGGCTAAATGTCTCCAGCATATCCAGAAACGTCCAGCTGTTTTCAGCTACAACTCTCAGGATGATCATGTCCAGGATGACTGAGAACTACACCTCCATGCTGCAGCAGCATTCAGTCAGAACAGGAAGTGGAGCTTAAATGTAGCCGCTGTCAGTAACAATCTAACAGATTTTAAACATTAAAACTCTCAACAGAAATAATTCAGAAAGGAAATTAAAATGTTTACAGCTTTGTGTGTGATTTATTATAATAATAATTATTATTATTATTATTATTTATTGTGGCAGAAGCTGTGTGGTCCATCACAGAGAAGCTTCTCTAACATGATGACTTTAATTATTCTACAGGTTATTGTTCAGTCTTCTGACGCTCACACTCACACACACACACACACACACACACACACACACACACACACACACACACGAGTGTTGGTGAGCGTCTGCGTCTGACTGCTGACACTCCGTGTGTGTTGTTTTTTCTGCAGTGAGACAAACTCACCTCACACCGTTCAGAGTTTGTTCTTTAAAGCTTCTATTAAATCCTCCGTGTTGACATATTTTCACAAGTTTCCTCTACGCTTCTGTTTAAGTTAATTTACATGCCTAAAATTCTGAATAATTAATGAGCATTAGACTCAGAGCTAGCTCCAGGGATAGGCCTCAGCCTGAGCCTCAGCCACGCCTGAAAACTGTTCCGCGATTTTTAATCTCTCAACTTAGACCATTAGTTGTAGCATTTGTGTATTCTTTCTGGATATTATTTGTGCAATTGTTGGACAAAATGACTTGTTGTGGTATTAATTGCACTAATAGAGCGTCCAAGGAGTCTCTACTTCATTTTTTTTTCTCTGTAAGTAAAATTATATTTATGTAATGTCCAGCAATGGTCAGTTTTCACCTAAAAACTGACCTACATGCCACCGGTCACTGGCAGACACAAATGCCATTCTTTAAGGCGGATTTTACATTCTACCTTCCAACAAGCAACAAGGTTCTGCAAACCTTGTTGACATTTCAGGAGGAGCACGATGTCAGCCTGTGTTCCCAAACAAAGCCTTCTTCTGATAACACCGCAGGATTCAAACATGCCTCTGAATAAAGTGACTATTTTCAGCTCATATGAGTTAATCAATCATCAAATGGAATGAACAAACGTTATATGAAATGGTCAGTTATGTTTTGATTAAGCTGTGCTTAAATTAATAAGGTTGATTAATCTGTGCTTGAATTACTGAAGTTTGAAATGAATATTATTGTGATATGATCAGTAATTGTAGGTTTAACAACTGAATCATTATCTACATTCAGACACAAGGTTCATTAGAGATAAATTAAATTTAAGGTAAATGTCATAGATATTTTCTTAGCCACAAATCAGAACATCCTGTATCTGGAAGAGTTGTGACGTTCTGAGGTTTGCTTGTGAACACCCCGTAACATGGCATGTCCTGGTTGGCCAAGAAATCGTAATATGAGAATATTAAAACAGAGCTCACTAAATGGTGGGTCAGTTCTGGAGAAAGCTACAGACAGGCCATCTGGAGCGAACACTTTTTAACCCAAAGCTTTTGACGAGCTAAAAGCTGCCTACAGCTGACACAGCAAAACGGTTCCTTCAGCTATTCAGAAACAGCTGTTCTAGACACAAATGATTTCATCTATTTGATTTGTTGTGATCCGGGAGATGACTCTGGCCCAACCTGGTCGTGCTGCGGTCTTTTCTACAACTTTGGTACCTTGGGCTCTGACTCAGAAGCTCTGGTGTTGTGCACAGTTAACTCCGGTTGTAGCTAGGTAGCTACCTCCATTAGCTTATCTCTCACCTCCGCGTTAGCTTTGGGTTAGCTTGTAGCTACATCGCTTCAGTTCGACGGGTGTCGTCATTTGATCCCAGCCTTACAGCCCCACCCTCAGCTCCACCTCTTTTCCCTTTTTTGGAATTGTCTAGGTTTGACAGAACCTGTGACATGGTCAAAATGGCGGTGGTGGGAACCTCCTATTTTGGCACAAAAACTTATAATTGGAGCCTATGGAGACGAATTGTCCAGTATATATGTCGATGATGTAAACACGCACTGAGCAGAACCTTCTGGATTTGGAAGGCCAAATAGAAAGTGGATTTATGCATGTAGATGAAAGGTTATTATGTTGATCAATCTGTAGGTGAAAATTGACCCTTTTGGTACGTTACTATTAACTAATATATTCCACTACACTGTTTAAAAGCAGTTATTTACTGATTATGTTTTAACCCTCTCAGGCTCAAAATAAGTTTTTGATAAAAGGACAAACAACTAAGTCCTTCAGGGGTACTTCTGAGTAAAAAAATGCTCATGAAATACGTATGTGAAATAACCAGGTAGGTAGGTTATACATATTGTAGGCTAACTCATGCGGCATTGCCATATCGTGATAATATCTGAGACACATGCCGTCCTACTCCCAACCCCACTCCCCCCACCCCACTCCCACGGTTTCGTTTTGTTCAAAGGAGCCAGTCTTTTGAGGGTAAGAGCTCACCGGGACAGTGCCAGAATGCCATATAGGCCAGTCCACCCCCTGGTGGTCGGAGCAGCGTCCATTCTTTAATGTCTATGCTGGGGAGGACAAATGTCATGGTGTTTACCTCGGAAAACATACAACTGCACATTACATCGATTTTACATGCACACTTACAAGTTTATCTTGTAAAATAAACATGTTTCCACCACAGCTACTACTGTTATTACAAAGTGCTGCTATTTTAATCCTCGAAACTGGTTTAAAAAACTAAAATTCTCTCTTCTAAACAGTGGAGAGCTGTTTTTCGTATTAGTCACTCAAAAACAGGGAAGCTGCTGCTGCAAACTGTATTTTGTTTACTTTCGTGGTTTCAATTATTATGGAAAATTGAGTTTACAGCTGCAGCAAAAAGTCTGAGCGCTATGCACTAGTGGAACAAATCAGAGCCGGGCTGGGGGCGGAGCAAATGACCGATTTATAATTAATGAATTATATTGGGACAATATGATAGAGCTAATGGTCAGCTAAGAACTTCTCAACTGAGAGCTCCCGGTAGAAGTTCTGAAGACAAACAGAATCCTCCCTGGTGTCCAGGTCGGTGTTGCTGGTCTTCTGGGTCAAACAGTCTCAAACATGTCTGCACCTCCAGCTATCTGCCAGGTCTGCTGCCAAATCTGGCTGGTTTGGGTTAAGATTGGATGCCATCTTCTGTTTTTTCCGCACTGTTAAAAAAAACTGGATTATCTTAAAAAATTCAAAAACCTTTTAGAGCTGAGGTTTTAATACAATTTTACACATACCATTCAAAAAGATTGCCTCAAGTCATTTAATTTAAGCTATTGGTTTCAAACTGGTTTCAGTGATGCCAGAAACTTGCACATCTTCACATAGGATACATTTGGTTTGGGTAGGAACACTAGTGGAAGATCTTTGCCTGGTTCACGGTAACAGCTGTTTACCGTGCCGGTAGCTAAAATAACGGCTAGTAGTGAGCTGTTTCAGTTCACCAACCATTGGTTTTTATGAGGCTATAAAATCACAGACTGGTGGTGACCTAGCTTTGTTGCTACTAGACTTGTAAGTAATAATATTTTTTGTCAAACAGTGTGGATCTTTTTTCTTCACACCTTATTTAGGATCAGATGGCTGGCTTATGTTAGCGTTAGATGATGTTAGCGTTAGATGATATTAGCGTTAGCTCATTGTTAGTGCCAGCTACAGCAGATTGCAGCAGGGTTGTTGACGACAGTTGTAATTCCACATTCAACCAGTAGGACGGATAGAGGGAAACTTATTAAGTGTTGCTTTAAAGGAGATGTCCCAATTATTTATTTTATCTGGTGGGGGAGAACATCTATTGGCTGACAAGCATATCAGACCAAGATTATATATTTTTTACTTCCAAATTCACGGCCGAACTCTATGCCTCTCGTTCAACGCCACCTGTAGCCAACAAAACAAGGCTAAAACACGTTGTTGTACAATTATGATGCTCATGTTATGTTCACCATCTCTACATCAACCCACGTACATCCACAAATGCTCAAACACACTCTGTGATTAACGTTTTAACGTAAGCAGTAACACTATTGGTTAGTGCTGACCAACGCTCAGTTCATATTGCTTTGAGCTCTATGGGACAGGGAGTGGGCTAAGCAAAAAAAAAAAAAAAAAGAAAAAAAAGACGTATTTCATTCATTATATCAATTGATAAGACAAACATTTTTAGGGATTTCTGAAAAATCACACATAGTTCCCAAAAGGGGAAAACTCTGGATAGCAACTTAAAAGTGCTTTTTTTCCATTGTTTTCAAACATATGACAGTTAAGGATGTGTACGAGAAATGTGTAAAAACAAACTAAAAACCCATTATTCCTTGGTGGAATGCACCTCATCCACTTCAAATCAAATCTTTAATGTCACTGTCACTTATTACAAAAACATCTACATCAGAATTTAAAACCAAGATTTTCTTGGCCGTTGGCAACAGATTTGACCTGGTAATCAGTTAACATATAAGAACATTACTGTTGAGTATTCCTTGAAGTGTCATGCCCATGTTAAACTGGATATATAATTGTGTTTGTGTGAATGTGCACCTGTTCTCTGGCCTGATATATGAAGGAGCTGCACTCCTCGAGGTATGGTGTGATCTGTGTGTCTGGGAGGTCCAGGATCTGAAGCGTTTTATAGACCATCTGATCTGGAAACAGGTTAGGGACTCCATGGGCCACATTTAGGACATGCGACACCTGAAGCGAGGAGACATTAGGAAAGAACAGAAAAAAGAGACATGAAACTCCTTGAAGAAATAATCCCTGAACACTGGACTGCTTTAAAAGCTCTTTTTGCTTTGCAGACAAAGACGGATCCTCTGTTAGCCATATTGGTGACATGACAGGCTGAACAGAGAGAGGGCACAAAGACGAAGTGGAAAAGAAAGAAGAGAACTGACAGAGAGGGGGGAGAACGATGAAGAGGAAAAACTGGTGGGTAGGCAGGAAAGAAGACAGATGGCTCCTATTCAATTTGCAGAGTCTGTCTATGTGCTTAAATTTACCTCTGAGGGCAAAATCCTCTCCTGTTTTACATCTCAGCATCGGTGCTTTTAGACTTCTTGTATCATCTAACATCCCCATGTTAAGGGATATTTTGGGTGCCACACTATACTTGCATTATTGACAGCAAACCCCATTAAAGACCAAAACCAACAGTGGACCTTTCTACCGCTAAAGCACGGTGCTATTGTCTAAAAACAGACAATTTTGACTTTAAAAAGGACCTTCACTTAAAGGTGTGGAACGCTCATTTAATCAATACATTTGCAGTGGTCTCTACTAGGAATGTAAGTCATACATGGGGGGGAAAAGCACAGGTGCACCAGCTTTAGGAGCTAAATTTGAGGCACATCAGAGCTGAGCTTCAGACAGCAGGATACAAAGTATTTCCTGATATTTAGGCATCTTGCCTCTGGCTATTTTTGGCTATTTTTCATAAGTTATCATAGCCCAATAATCTATAAAAACCATGTTCATTAGAGGTGCTGAAAAAAATCGATTCAAGTCTGAATCAGGATTCTTATTTATAAAGATTCAGAATCGATTCACAAAGTTTCAGAATCGATTTCAAGAACTCAAATAGTTGGCATGTTACAGGTTTTTGATCTTTGTTAGGAGAGTCAGTACTCCGTTTACTTTTGTGGTGCCATAAATTGAGATGATTTATGTTTGAATCTGCTGATAAGAGGGCACTTGAATGTAATTTATTCCATACTCAGAAATTTGAGATATTCTCATATTTATTTTCTAAGTTGATAAATGAGTACTCTGGATTTCTCAGGTAACTTGTTTCTACACATACTTGAAAAGTATTTGACCATATTCATTTCAAAGCTACTGTTGGGTAACTACAGATTTGTTATATTTTACATAAGCAAAAATAAATGTTGCCTTTTGGTCAAAAGATTGCTTCTGTTTACAGTTTTAGAATCACTTTATTTTACATTGTAAATTTGCATTTTTGGAGCATGACCAGTTTAAAGTTAAATAAAAATTTCCCATAGCTTTAACTAACTTGTACAACAAAGTAGTTAATCCTGGAGCTGACACTTTTTGTTAATACTGATTATGAATCGATTTAAATTGAGAATCGAGAATCGATTCTGAATCGAATCGGCACCCCAAGAATCGGAATCGAATCAAATCGTGAGTTGCTCTAAGATTCATATCCCTAATGTTCATGATGTTGTTTGCACTAAATCCCTCTCACTTGAACCAATTTTAGCAGTTTTATTCTTGACATTTTCAGTGCCTTTCATAGTGAGTTGTTTCAGGGCTCTTTCATTTTAAGAAAACAAGCTGACACTGCCCACGCCCACCCATCACCCCACTCAGGCTGCTATAGGCTGAGAAGCTCCGATAATTGTGAGGGGCTCGGAGTACAGCAACTGCTCCTCCAGCAACAACTTTCTCTTCCACGTAAGAGGTGGCTGTGCTCTAATTTTCATGTTTGTGACATCACAAATGGGGACTTTTTGAAGCTTAGGTTTAAGCACATAATTCCTAAAGCAAAATGCTGACTGAAAATTTGAGTGTTTATAGAAGCAGTAGAGACCCACATGGAAGCACAAAAAAGATGGAAAATGTCCCCTTTAAGTAGAACATAATAGTCTTATCAGATGCTCTTAGGTGTTTGCTAAAGCTAAAATTAGCTGCTGTTTGTTAGGGACAGGGACATCAGTAATTATTCCCAGATAGAAAGCTTACATTGAAACAATAATGATTTTCCATCTGAATCATCAGAATGGTTGACATTAAAATCTTGATGCAAACTAGATGTTGAATGAATGTTGCAAAACCAATGAATCCTGACAAAAACAGCATGATATTGTAAAAATTCCTCTCAACTAAAATATAAATGAAAATGTATTGATCTGTAGCTGTGTTGAAATTTCAATGTTGTTTTAATATTTAGGTTAATTGAAATATAATGGTAAATACACTGGTCTTTGGTTAACAACTCAATATTGTTTCAATGTTAAATTTAGGTGCAAAATTATGTTGATTCAATGTTTTAACATTGTCAATGCAATGTGGATTCTACATTGTTTCAATGTAAGCATGCTATCTGGGTTGTTAGTCCTATGAGGTTCAGAAAAAAACAACTATCATCTTGAAGATCTTTCACTTTTCACAAAGGTTTTCTCTGTTTAAAAAGAAAAGTGTATAGTAGCTAGTTTTTAAACTATAGTGAGAGCTTCATTAATGTGAGTTTGCCAGGCTCTCTCCTCTCTCCTGAGCCTCATCAGGGTCTTTGTTGTACTGATCCACATAGATGGCTTGATCTCTTTGCTGAAGGAGTGTATTTCTGTGGTCTGGGGGATTGGATTCAAAGATGTGTTGTAAGTTTTTAAGCATTGAAACATCGGATCACATGTTTAAATTCTCTAAAACTAAACCAATGGAAGGGGATCAAACCATCTAACATGTGGACAAGGTCATCAAACACCCCCAATGACCCTCAGGATGGATTTCAATGCGACTTTATTGGATGATTTTCTACAAAATCGAAGCTGACTCAATTCAAGATGGCCACTAACAACTAATCCACCATATCAAACACAGAAATGCCTATAACTCTGTCACTTTTAGAGGTACTGGGCAAAACTTTGGTGTGGTGGGAGCTGACTGTCATACTTACTCTGTCCTCTGCTGCCCACGGATAAACAGAAACGGATGTGACGTCGCCATAGCTCTGATGAAGATCACAGGAGTGATCAAAACTGTCAGCAAGGTAAAAAACCTTTCCTGTGTTAAAAAAAGAACCTAAACATGCATGCTGACAGTCATACTTACTAAGAAAGAAAGAAAGAAAGACAGAAACAAAGAAACGAAGAAAGAAACAAACAAAGAAAAAAAGAGGGCCAGAATCACGATGCCGGTCCGACTCAGCCTTCAGGTACCTCAACGGAGCAGGGACTAAAAATAAGAGAGAAAGTAGAAGGAAAATACCAAACCGTGCCCTGTAGAACAGTGGTCGTGCAGAGCTGCATCGGTCCGAGTTAATCTGAGTAGTTCTCCTGGAAAACTACCTCATGTGTGAGGAGATGAAGGTGTGGATAAGTCTCAAGTTCAGAGCGGGACAGAATGGGACTCAGCTTAGCAATGTTCCTGAGATGGAAGAAGGAAGAGCGAACAAGAGAACTGACATGAGAATCCAGGGTGAGAGCTGGGTCAAAGGTCACGCCAAGATTCCTGACAGAGGGTTTGGTGTGAGAAGCAAGCTGACCAAGAGAGTCTCTGACTTTGGGAACCAGCTTGTCTGGGGCACAGATGAGGATCTCAGTCTTATCTTCATTCAGCTGTAGATAGCTCCCAGCCATCCAGGTTTTGATAGAGTCTAAGCAGGTGTCTAACAGCTGCAGCTTAGACATCTCATGGGGCTTAAAGGAGATGTATAGTTGGATGTCATCTGCATTAAGAGGGTAGGATATTCCTTTGAAGGAGCTCAGGATGTGCAGAAGAGGAAGCAGATAGAGGAGGAAGAGTAGAGGCCTCAGCACAGAACCTTGTGGGACACCATGGGTAAGGGAGGTGGTGGAGGACCTAAACTTGGAGATGACCACAGAGAAGGAACGCTCAGACAGATAAGAAGAGAACCACTCCAGAGCAGTTCCTGATAGGCCTACCCAGTCTCAGCCTCTCCAGTAGCAGTTGATGGTCAACAGTATCAAAGGCTGCAGATCACACAGCTCTTTGTTAAATCTCCACTCAAACAGCAACATGTATGTGTGGTCTGCTGATCTTCATCATAAGAGAAGGTTTGTGTGAAACCCCGCCAGAGGCCAGGATTCACATCTCCTGAGCTTTAGCAGCAACCAGAGAATCCTTCTTAAATCAGTCACAGTTTCATCCCTGAAACATGAAGTGAAGGTGTTTGTAATCTCTCTAATTCATCATCCTTAGACTGCATGGCAGCAATATTCTCATGCCCAGGAGCAGCCACTGCAGACTAACTGTAATCATTTACTCCCTCTGCTGAGCTAAACTGTCACTGCATGATGCATGAAGCTCCTCGGGCTATTTGCACGACTGCAGGAAAGCCTTAGTACATGGCTGCCTCTAATCTTATGTCACTTACACATGCTATCACAGCAAAGCAAGGTCACGCCCGCTATATTGATCCCTGTGCACTGACCTTGTATCTCCGGAGGGTGTCAATGTCGTGGGCTGCATCCTGAGAGGCTGAAATGGCAGAAACAACTCGATCAGTAGACACACAAGATGACTTGACCCCAAAATGATGCTTATTGTTCAGCTTCTCAACCCTCAAAGCAGCTGTACCATCAAAAGAGTCAGATTTCTCAGTCTCTGCTTTATTATCATGTTCAATCAATCAAGTTTAGATTTTAGACAGCTGTTTAAAACAACTTGATCTTAGGCCGTTAAATTATAATAAGGTTGTTTTTATATACCTTTAATTAACCAAATCATGTAAATAATCTACATTTGCAACCTCATTTCTAAATATATAAACATATAATAAGAAATACCACACATAAATGAGAGAATCTTTAAAATATAGGTATGTTTCATAAGGTTTAGCACTTTAGGAGTGCATAAGCTGCAGGATATCAACACTGATGTCCCTCAATGGGAAACATCCAGACACAAAACCCCTTCTGAACAGATGCTACCGCAACCGGGAAGATATCTGTCAGCAGAAACCACAAGAAAATGGCTTAAAGCATCAAAAAAAAAAAAAAAAAAAAAAAGAACTGGCAAGGAATCTATTTATTTGTATCGTAATACAAAACGTGGCTCAAGAAAATGCTGAGATAAACATTCAATACTATCTACAACTGCAGAGCAGGAATGTTTTTTTTCCTGAAAGGAGCGTGCAAAAGCATTTTTATGACGAGGTGTGAATGACTAACTTTCTCCCTCTGCTGCATTAAACAGTAATAAAGGAGAAAAGGAATATTTTAGCTGAGAGAAGCAAAAGAAAAGTCACTGATGTTAAACTGAACGGCCGCTCTTCCTTTGGCAAACAGCTCATCAGGACGATACCAGGAAAGTCGGGAATAGGAGGCTTCCAGGGTAGATTCTCTGCGGCAGCTAAATGGCAACTTTAGCTCTCTTTGCATAAGCCAATCCACTTTGACACAATGCCAAATGCATGGTGTTGAGATGCAAATCTAAATCCAAACAGAAGTGAGTGGGTTTGGACGTAAGCCAGCTCCAGCTCATATGTGTGTCATCAGCGTAGAAAGAAAAGATTTAAAGTGACAGGTCTGTGAAAGAATGAGGGGGTGCCTTTAAGTCTCCAGAAAAGATTAATTAAAAAAATAAATCTTTAGTTCAATTTGCTGCTGTTTAAATTTATGTAAGAGGACTCTGCTTCAAATCTTCCAAATACAAGCTCCAGTGAGATTTAAGCAATCTAATGGCAGAAATCCAGGATATGTGCTTCTACAGAAGCCCAGAAGAAACAAACCTGTCTCGAGTCTTTGAAGGTATTTTTATAGTCACTGTTTAATGCAGGTGGCTGGAGGATTTCAGATGGCTGTAATTAGCATCCTGCACTGCAGCATGTCATATAATCAGACACACCAGAAGAGATTCATGGTTTTTGTTGTATTTCATTTGATTTCTCTTTTAAACTGATCCATTTTATGCATGTACTGATGTGGAGAACATTGTTGGTGTCCTTCTATCCATGAAAGAAAAACCACAATGGGCACACAAATAACTTGAATCTGACAAAAGTAATAATAAACCGAAATTCTATGAAATGTAACCAATGAAAGTCAGACATTGCTTTTCAACCATGTTTTATCTAGGGATGGATACCTTTGACATTTGAATCAATCCAGTACAAATTCCCAGTACCTAGGAATCGATACTGATACTTAACTCAGGCTCAAAATAATTTTTGATAAAAGGATGAACAACTAAGTCCTTCACGGGTACTCTGAGTTAAAAATGGTCATGAAATATGTATGTGGAATAACCAGGTAGGTAGGTTTTAATGTTGCAAATCTGCAACGCCTGCCTCCAGAGGGTTATGTTATGTTTATGTTTATTTATTTGGCAGACGCTTTTATCCAAAGTGACTTACAATTTATAACCTATAGGGCATGTTGTGATCTATGGGGAAAACTGGAGTACCCGGAGGAAACCCACGCATGCATGGGGAGAACACGCAACTCCATGCAGAAAGGCCGCAGCCGAGCCGAGTTTCGAACCTGCAACCTTTGTGCTGCGAGGCAACAGTGCTAACCACTGCACCACCATGCAGCCCACAACAGTTAACAGTATGAGTTTATATTTTTAAATAATTCCATTGAAGCATGGTTGAAAAGCAATGTCTGACGTTCACTGGCTACATTTCATGGAATTTGTATTTATTTTAATTTATGTCAGATTCATATTTGTGTGATCATTGTGGTTTTTCTTTCACTTATCAAAAGGTACCAACAATTTTGTCCCCGACTATATATCCAGTCAATCAAGTGGTCAAGTGACAGTGATTAAATTAGAATAAAATGTGGTAAAGCTATATAAAATGTTATAAAATATAATAGATCAAACTGTGAAGTTATAGGGAGCCTAAGTCACGCCCATCTACTTTCGGACCATGGGCCCAGAAAAAAGAAAAAAATGAATGCAAGTCAATGAGGCTAAAATAGCTATTTTCTAATTCCGCTTGTTATGTGCCATGGATTTCACATATGATGTCTGTGAATTTGAAATACACATTTTGATGCCAAGAATGTGCTTTTTTTTTCGAACAGGGGGTGGGGATCATTATTTTAGGTTTTGTGTGAAAATAAGTCCAAGACTACAAATGCACATCACCAATTTGACATCAGTGAATCAGACACGGGGAAAAGGAGAAGAAAAATGGCTGTACGTTTGGCGAATTTCAAGTCCTTCCTTCAGAGGGAATGAACCACCAAAAATCTGGCCATTTGGTAAGTAGCAGCTACGCTAGGGGAGAGTTGGATCTGTGGTGATGTTGTGCGATGTGCTGACGTCTGATTTGTAGTCATGCTATTTACGAAGTTTTATCAGCTGATAAAACTCAAAGGACGTGGCAGGCATGGTTGAAACAGAAACACCCATTATTAGTTTTCATTTAAATTGAAGTACAACATATGTGTGATTCAGTGCGTAAGGCAAAGCGGATTAGAAAATAGCGTTTTTAGCCCTATTGACTTGCATTCATATTTGCTTCTTCTGGGGACCCATGAGCTGACCGGATGGGGAGGAGACTTGGGCTCCCTATACTCAATTCAAGCTCCATTTTGGTCTTTTATAATGTCTTAAAGTTTACAAAGCTCTGAGCAGGTCTCATATTCAGTAGAAAGGTAAATTGTTCCACTAATTAGGGATGGTAATTGCAAAAGCCCAACCACCTCTACTGTTCTAGGTCACTGACTCACAAAGTAGAAGTTATAATTGAACTGGGTTGCGAAAACGCTCTGTTTGGTATTATGAGAAGATCTCCAGAAATCAAATCAAACTGACAAATAATTCCTATGGAATACTGTGGGATGCAAACATTTTGCCAGCTTTGTTAAACTTCATGATTTTCCTTTATAAATCGTTGGTTGTTACAATAAAAACATTATGTTAAATATATTATACAGACACACACACAGTGACATCTGAGAAGTGAAACAAAATTTATAGAATCTACAGAAAGTCTGCAATAATTGTTTAAACAAAATGAGGCAGGTGCATACATTTATGCACTGTTGTATTATTATAGATTCAAAACCTTAAAACTAAGTATTGGAACTCTAATTGGTTTGGTAAGCTAATTGACCCTTGACCTCCACACACAGGTGAACATTGAGGAAATGGAAGACCACAGGCACAGTTCAAGTTAAGGCTCCAAGTGGCAGACCAAGAACAATCTCAGATAAACAGAAGTGAAGCATGGTGAGAACAGTCAGAGTTAACCCACAGTGCAGTACCAAAGACCTACAACATAATCTTGCTGCAGATGGAGTCACTGTGTGTCGTTCAACTATTCGGTGCACTTTACACAAGGAGATGCTGCATGTGAGAGTGATGCAGAGGAAGCCTTTTCTCCAACCACAGCACAAACAGAGCTTGAGGTTTGCTAAAGCACATTTGGACAAGCCAGCTTCATTCTGGAATAAGGTGCTGTGGACTGATGAAACTTAAGTTGAGTTATTTGGGCATAACAAGGGGCGTTATGCATGGAGGAAAAATAACCCATCATTCGAAGACAAACACCGTCTACCTACAGTAAAACATGGTGGTGGTTCATCATGCTGTGGGCTGTGTGGCCAGTGCAGGGACTGGGAATCTTGTTAACGTTGAGGGACGCATGGATTCCACTCAATAACAGCAGATTCTGGAGACCAATGTCCAGGAATCAGTGACAACGCTGAAACTGCACCGGGGCTGGATCTTTCAACAAGACAACAACCCTAAACACTGCGCACAATCTACTAAGACAGGGATTCCCAAAGTGTGGTGCGCGCACCCCTGGGGGTGCGCGAGCTGCCGCTAGGGGGTGCGCAAGGTGAATAGTTGTAATGGCTGCGGAGCTCAGAGAAGACTGTCATATGTCACTATTAGCGTAGAAACTCATTTGTGGGTGGGCCAAAGAAAAAGTAAGTGGGCACAATAAATGTAATTGAAAATTAAAGCTGCAAGCAGCGTCGTTCGGCCCTCGCAGCTCCGCGCCGCTCCGGCCTGGCCGACAGCCCGGGGCACCAGGGCACGTCTGGCAGAACAGAAACGTCAACCGCCCCGACACTAGAAACCGCAAATGGCCTCCTAGTCCGCACCTCACCCTTACTCAGCATCCCCTCTGAGCTCACCATTAAATTGAATTGTAAGGGTGCGGCGTTACGCCAGAATTCGCCATGGCATCAAAGCCCTTCCCTTTCTGGAAAGCTATCAGATCTGAATGGTCAATACAGCATCATGAAGACAGTGCATGACCTTGGTGTCTTGTTGACTAAATTAGAGGGGACAAATATGGGCATTTCAGCATAAAAAAATAGACTTCCTGTGGTCAGGGGGCGGGGCTTAGGTGATGTCAGCTGTCCACATTGTCATTTTTTACAGATATGGTCAATGATCACACAGACAAAGTTTGAAAAAGATCTGATCTTGCACATGGGAGTTATTAAGTCAAGTAAAGTAATGGCGAAAGGTCAAAGTTTGAGACTTAGCCACGCCCACACCTTTCAACTTTT